TCTTTTAAAGATCACAATTCCATTTGGGAAATCGTTGATAGATTGACTAAATCATCTCATTTCTTGCCTATTCGCACTGACTTCACTTCCGAGCAGTTAGCGAGACTTTACATTTCGGAGATTGTGAAGCTACATGGCATTCCATTATCTATTATATCGGACAGGGATTCGAGCTTTATGTCAGGGTTTTGGAAGATTTTTCAGCAGGCTTTGGGTACAGAGTTGCATCTTAGCACTGCTTATCATCCTCAGACTGATGGACAGGCCGAGCAGGTTAATCAGATCATGGAGGATATGCTTCGTTCGTGTGTTCTTAATTTCAAGGCTACTGGGAAAATTATTTACCACTTGTGGAGTTTGCATATAACAATAGTTTCCAGAAGACTATTGGTATAGCACCATTTGAGGCATTATACGGTCGACCGTGTCGATCGCCTGTTTGTTGGATCAAGGTTAGCGAGAGTAGATTCTTGGGTCCTAAGTTCATTAAGGATACTTCTGAGAAGATTGCTCTTATTAGAGATCGCATGCGCATTGCCCAAAGTAGGCAGAAGAGTTATTCAGATCGTCGTACTCGTGCATTGGAGTTTCAGGTTGGGGATCAGGTTCTACTCAAAGTGTCTCCTATGAAATGAGTAATGCACTTTGGGAAGTAAGGGAAGTTGTCACCACGATTTGTCGGTCCATTCATGATTAGAAATCGAGTTGGCGCTGTAGCTTATCAGTTGGCACTTCCGGATAATTTGGATCGTGTGCACAATGTGTTTCACATTTCCATGTTGCGGAAATTTCTGCGAGATGAGGATCGGTATCAACATATCGATGTTGGGGAGATTGAGTTGCAGCCGGATGCAACATATTTGGAGCCACCGTGTCGTATTGTCGACTGTCGGGATCAAATTCTTCGTAATAAGGTTATTCCTTTAGTGCGTGTTCAGTGGAGTCACCACAATGACTCTGAGTCTAGTTGGGAACAAGAGGATGTCATTCGCTCGCAGTTTCCTGAAATATTGGAAGAAGGTAAGAGTGAATTCCAAGGACGGAATTTCTTTTGTTAGGGGGGAAGAATGTAATACCCCTAAATTTTAAAAGGATAGTCTCAGCAATTTAAGTTTTATTTTATTGCATTTTTATTTATTTATGTGTTTAGTTACCTGTTTATTTTAATTAATTGATTGATTTTTTGTTTTAATTGAATTGTTTGTTTAATTGTTAATTTAATTGTATTTTTATTTTCTTTAATTTCTTTAATTGGATTAAATTAGTTTTAATTGTTTAAAGGGTTTATTAATTTATTTAAATGAGTTAATTGGATTTAATAAGTGTTATTATTTATAATGTGAAATTAGGGTTTTATGTTTTATGACATCGTGGGTTAGCTGGACATAGGTTTTATTTATAATAGGATGGATAACTGGAAATAGTTATTGTTCCCTGGTAGGTCTAGGTACACATGACCACGTTATGTGCGATTTGCATGGTATCTCTACTCAGGCTGAGACAGACCTATTGGACTAGTGAGCATCCTATAGTGTGTATTTATACATATATGGACTACTTTAGTTATTATTGAGCTATATAGGATGTATTTGCGTATCGGGTTTCTGTATGGATTGTAGTAGGATAGAACTTCCATGTGAGCCTGATCTACTCTCTTATTTTTCAGGTGTTCGTCAGTTCCAGGCTTAGAGCTTAATTGTGCTGAGCAAATATAGTCACTCATTCCTCCGACTACGTAGGATTGCTTTCCATGTTTAGCTTTGGATTTTGTTTCAATTGTTTCCTTTTCAATTTGGGATTTTATTAGGGGTCCACTAGATGGATTCCCGAGTTATTTAATTAATGGAGGTTTTAGATTATTGGATTTTAATTATATTACTTTGAGGATTTTTAATTTAGAATTCTTTCAGCGTTTATCTATTATTTATTTCTTAATTCTTTTTGTATTCTGTGTTCATTTACATATTAATTGTTTGATATCCCTCGGATCTGTGCTTAGACTTGATCACCCGTGACTCTAGAATCGAGGGGTATCACAAGTGCTGTTGGATTGGACGTCGCAAAGCCAGAGGATTGTTAGCAAATTTTTGTTTGGTAGAACGATAGGATGTGAGCCTGAGTCAAAGTTCAGTGTACTTTGTTTTAAACATAGTGGATCGGTTTACTGTGGACTACACAATCCATGATGTTTTTCCCACGCAAATAATTAGTCTATTTTACCAATTGGGGTTTCCTAGCTAAAAATCTTGGTGTTATCTCTAACTCTTTAGTTTACTTTATTGTATCTTGCATAAGATTAATTATTTAATTGCTAAAATAAGTAAAACTAGAAATACACAGATCTGTTTCTAAAAATACAAAACTTTCTAAATATTTTGCTGCGTACAACTCACAATTCGGTCTGATTTCATTTTTGGCTCTATACCCTGAAGCCAAATCCACGATATTTCTCAATTAAAAGCTTCAATTTTGCATCAATTTGCTTTTATGTAACACTAGAAATGCTTGATTTGTAGATCTGGGTAATATTACCCAAATGAGAAAAAATTGAAAAAACGAGAGTAATTTTAAAGAGAGAAACAAAGCCAATTTGACCCTCTGCAACATCCTTATAGGTTTTGCATAGAGGATTCGAAGAGGGGGGGGAGGGGATAAAGAAAAAAGATAAAAGGGTTAAGTACAGAAAACACCCCTAATGTATACTTTAGGTAGCACTTCCACCCCTATTTAAAAATGCGTGCAAAAAACACCCCTATTCTTTTCATATTGTGCAAAAATACCCCTCAATCAGAAATTTGACATAAATTAACGTTATAATACCAATTTTGCCTTTTTGGTTTTCCAAAAATGTCCAAGGGGTCAAGCCAAACTAGTTTAAGACATCATTACTCGTGTAACCAAACACATTTCTTCTCCTTTTTCAACAACACAAAACTGCGTCAATCTCAGGCCTATGTTCAACAACACCTAACGACAACTGTTATTTAGGCCAACTATTACTTCAATCGCGGCAGAGGCAACGACAACGGCGACTGTGACACACTGGCGTTGAAACCTCCGGTGACAACGACCTTTGCAACTCCCACTGTGTCAATCTCTGGCCTAAGTTCAGCGAGCGATTTGTTCACATAATGCTCGCCGATGGAGTGATGAAAAGGATGATGGCTGGGTAGCCTGAGTTCTTCGGTGAGTTATGGGCCAGGGAGGTGACGGTAGAGAGAGAATAAGAATTCACTCTGGTGAGTAAACGGGTCATCTCTGCCACTGGATTAGGTTTTACAAGTGGCTAACTAGGTTAACTCGCCATCGTGTTCTCTATCAATACCCACTACGGCTCTACCACATCTCCGCCGACGGGTCACCGTCGACGCACATAAGCGCGCTCAAATGCGATTTAAGGTGCTCACTGTGCCATTGTCTCCACTATCGGCGTCCTCCATCTTCCACCAATTATGTGATGATTCTAGAAGCGGTGACCCAGTTAAGTCACTGTCAACGACTCTGTAGAAATAATACATGTTCCATTTGTGCTCAACAACCTCCAAATCGCTGGTCCCACTGTAATCCAATGGCTTTTTCATTGACAAACTAGGCTTCACCTGGCTAAGTCACCACCACGTGACTCGTCTCTCCGATGATTCACCAATATACTCTCACGCATTGACAGACACCACCACCCGCCGGATCTAAGCCCGAGACATCTGGCCGACACCATTCTCTTGATTTCTAAAGTCTCTTTCTGGTCTCTATTTTCGTCGTTGCATTCATGGGTTTTGTTCTCTTGTTCATCATCATTAATCCTTCGTGAGATGTGCAAAAAAACGCAGCCACACAGAAATGTTGAAGTGTACCCATGTTGGTCATTTCATAAAATGATATATTTTTATATATTTTATAAAATAGTTTACTAAGAGCAATTTAGTCAAAGTATAATTTAATGTGTCAAATCGATCTATTTGCACAAAATTGAAACTTTAGGGGTGTTTTTTTGCATGTGAAGGTGTGATATGCACTTTAAGCATACTATAGGGGTGTTTTGTGCACTTGACCTAAAATAAAATAAAATTATTGATTACAAGCGTTTTGGGTTTTTATAAAAAAATAATTTGGTCAAAATGACTCATTAGGGGTCAATTTGCACAAAAAAAATCAGCTGGGGTCTTTTTGCACCAAAAAAATTAGTAGAGGTTTTTGGTACCTTTTGTATCTAAGGAGGGTGTTTTTTTGCACTTAAGCCTATAATTAATTACTTATTAAAGATACATACGGAATACATATGGTTTTTTCATAGGAGTATACGTAAATGTGATTGGACCGGTTTGAAAATATTTTATAATCAAATTGTTCCTAACGATTCCATAAAAATTAGAATAAAACTGAACTGCGAAACCAATAGAATCAAACCAAACCAAATCATGAAAGAACGATTCGATTCGATTCGATTAGATTTCACGGTTTGGTTTGGTTTGGTTTGTTATAATTCAATCTAATATATAATAATATATATATATATATATATATATATCATAATAGAAATTATATTATAGATGATATATATTTTTAATTATATAATAATAATTAAAAATATATATCATCTATAATATAATTTATATTATGATATATATATTTTTATTATATATTATGATATATGATTGGGTCATTAAAAGACAATTTTTATTATTCTATTATTTATATAATACAAAATATATAAATATATAATTATAATTAAAAATATATATCATCTATAATATAATTTCTATTATGATATATATAATTTTATTATATATTATGATATATGATTGGGTCACAAATTTTATTATTCTATTATTTATATAATATAAAATATATAAGTATATATATATATACTAACTTTGTCCCACTTTAATTATCACGATTCCGACAAATAAAATGGGACAAAAGAGTAATTTACAAAACAGCTTGTAGAACGTCTGAACTTGATTGTAGGCAGTTCTATATCTTTAAAATCTTAATCGAATCTAATTGTAAAAAAATCAAACCAAACCAAACCTTCCCGTCCGGTTTAGTCCGATTCAATTTATTGGTGGTTCTAACTGGTTTCATAGTTCCTCACGTGCAACCAGAGAATGACGGATGAAGGAAGAAAAGGATAACTTGCAAATTATCCAAAGAGGCTACCACGCAAATCTCTATTATAATTCTTCCTCTTCCACTATAACTCTTCTTTTTTCCTCTCTCTATATAACGTTCGGTTACATTCTTTTTCGAGTTTCGACTCGCTTGTACACCCCCAATGAAAACCGGCTATCAGAATGGGAGCTCAGCAGAGCATCCATGCCGGCAAAGGTCGGTTCTTATTATTAATCTTGCACAAACAATTAAAACACACGAATATAGTCACACATTTATGTAGTTTTAGTTTTAGTACCAGTCTTTTTATTATTAATTCATTCTTTTTGCCATTGATTATGATTGTTGATGATTGCTTTGCACAGCCAAGATAGACTTCAATGTTGATTTCACCCACAAGCTATGTGCTGCTTTGATGTTCAATCCTTTCAGGTTTCTCCTTTACTTGTAGCAACTCTTGCTCCACATTCTTAATAATCTCTTATACCTCTAAAACCCTAGCTATCTCTGTGAAGCAGGAATTCCGGTAATCCACTTTCATTAGTTATTGGAAGGTAAGATTGTGTCATTGTTTCCTTGATTTTCATGAATAATTATTATATTTGGGTTTTTGTGTAGTCATTGGTTTAAAATATTTATTGCAGTCTTTGCATCAAGCATCCGAATTTATTTGGCAAGAGCGAAAAGCTAGATATATTGTGGGATAAGGGACTTTATGATTCCAGTATATTGATAGCTTACAGGAAGCCGAGGCCCAAATGGCTCTCTCAACAATCTTTTGTCATTCAGGTCGGTATCTTCTTTACTCTTTATTATTTATTGCAAATTATATCAAGTTAGTCCGGAATCTTACAAATTTCTGCTAGAAATGGGCTCGATTCTAGTATCAATACAATAGGGCTACATTTTGCATGTAGAATGACAATTCACATTGTCTTAATTTTGCTTGAACTGGGATTGATGAGAAGAACTTTCTGATGTAAATTTTGAAAACCCAATTGAGGATCGAAATCTACAATTTTTTATTTTAAGGAGAAAATTATGCATTGATGGGATTTTACTCTGAATGATTCATGGGCCAGCACTCAATTTGGGCGAAACAATAAAGGCCTACATTGTGTGAATTCTGTTCAAACCCGCTTGATAGGAATATTTGTTTAACCAAACTTCTGGAAATGAAGTTAATAGTTTAAAGCAAATAACTTTTGTTGAAGAACAGATTTCTGTCATTTTGTAGCATCTAATTTGAGTAATTTTGTTTCCCAGCATTCCATTTCTCCTGAGATTGGGATCCATGGTTTGCCTGTCGACAACTTCTCCCGTTCGGGGAGTGGTGGTGTTAATCTGTGTCGCATTTCAGCAGGGGTAGATCTGAATGAGCCTGCAAGTTCTCACTGGAGCAGCACAACCAGTATAAAGTTTGAGGTGGGATGTGTCTTATTACAGTCAATAGGAACTAGTGAGCATCGGAATACATTTTCTTAGGTCCAAACTTTGTTTATATATCTCAATATGATATAGGGGAGCAATTAATTATTGTGTGCCATGCAGCATGTTCGTCCAATTAACGATGATGGACGCTTGGTAAGCAGAGATCTTGATGGGTTTCCAGTGACCTGCAGGTACTTGAGTCTTTTAATGATCCTATTTTCCAACAAGCTGGCAGACTAACTGAATGTTGTGTGCAAATACTTGTTATGCAGTGGCGGTAATCATGACAGTATGGTAGTATTGAAGCAGGAATCTCAATTTGCAAAGGCAAATGATCATAGCTTCACTCGAGTTTAGTAACCTAACTTGAATGATACTTCCTTAATGCCTATTTGATAGACAATCTTATTTATAGGTTTTGTTATATTTATCTAACTTTGGATTTGTCTTGTATCCAGTTTAGTCTACAAATAGAACAAGGGGTTCCTGTTTTATCTAGGTGGCTAATCTTCAATCGGTTCAAGTTTGTTGCATCAAAGGGAGTTAAACTTGGGCCGACATTTCTCTTGACAAGGTGAGAAATATTTTGTTTTGGGTTATTGAGTATGGAAATTGAGCTTTTTTTTTTTTTTTTGATAAGTGAAGTATTATATAAAAGGCACTCAAAAGAGGAGCACATTCCAAAAAATTACACAAGGACCAAATAGGCCCTAACCACTCAACATATCCACAAAATCCACTAACCCTCCTATTATAGATTTATAATTTCTCTCCCAAAGCCAAAAAAATAAAATTTCTAAGGATAGAAGACTTAAGCACCCCAGTAGTTTAACTTCAAATCCACTAACTCTCTTATTGCAGGAACTGTGAATAGTTTAACTTTCAAGCTATACTTGGAAGCATTGGTTAGGTGAAGAAGCACGTGAATGTAATTAGAAGAAGCATATAGGAAGTGAACTAGGAAGCTTAAGAAACTCTTTGACTAAGAGTACACGACTTGTCAAATATCTTAGATGTGCAAGGAATTGTCTACAACCAATACAACATAGCTAGGAATTTGGAAATGAGAAAAAAGACAAGGAAGAGGGAGAGAGAGAGAGGTATACCATAAGAAGCACTATAAAATTAAAGTGCACCTTGCTCTTTGAGCAATATAAGACAGGTAGCATAGGCTCTGATCTAAGAAGCACGGACACGAATACGGGACACGGATACAACACGACATGAACTCGGTGACACGACAAATCCAAAAAAATTAGGACACGGACATGGCAGGGACACTGCGAATAGTGTGTGTGTGTGTATATATATATGATGTATTACTTTAAAAATTAGTGAGTGTTACTCCCTCTGTCCCAATTTAGATGTCGCTTTTGGGGAGTAGGAATTTTAAAGGGGACATGTGGGACATGCCTTGTCTCTCTGAAAAGTTACTAATTTGCCCTTCTAAGTTTTGAATATTTAAGTTTGAAATTTTAAACTCCAAGGACATATATGGAAAGATGTAAAATATATTATTTGAAAAAAGAAAGTGGACAATTATTTTGGGACAGACCAAAAAGGAAAGTATGACATTTTTTTAGGGACAGAGGGAGTACAATTTTTCATCAACCTCGTAATGAAAAAAATACACAAATCTTAACTCATTTACTATGATAGTGTAATGACTGGCCCTTAAATATCTATTTGTTTTGTCTAAAATTGCATATTAACCTTACAAGTTTAAAATTATTATGTATAGACCACATAAGTGAGTAAAAGTCGTTAAATAACTTCACATATTTATACTTTAACCCAATTTTCTTTCAAAAATTATCTTTTAGACCCCCGAAAATAAGACACGCTTGTCGGACACACATCCCTAGCGTGTCGGATGCGTGTCTGCGGAGTGTTCATGTCGTGTCTGAGCCGTGTCCAAAAATTAAAAAAAAAAATAAAAAATAAAATAAAAATTCCAGACATGTTTTTTGGTGTGTTCGACACGTGTCGGGGCATGTCCAGCGCATGTCGGTGTCGGACACGTGTCGAACACGGATTCTTTGCCCATTTTGGCGTGTCCGTGCTTCCTAGGCTCTGATACATTTGAGTACATGATGCAGCGCAAATAGAAGAGCACTTTCTTCAAACAATTTAAGATCCTAAAAAGACTAGGCTGAGTTTCCATTAATAGGGGCAGCATATGATGTGATCAGATTATGTGGTTGTTTATTGGTCTAGAATCATTTATATAAGTCTTAAGTCTGTCTTTATTTCATGTTTAGGATATTTTTGTCATTTTGGTTTTATTTTATAAGTCATGTTCCTTTTTAAGTGAGTCATGTGACCACTTAAGGACTGTTTTGCCATTCTAGCACCTTTATTCTGCTTGATAGAATTCTAGCTGTTAGATTATATTTATATGGAGGGCTATGATTAATTCCTTGCTAGGGCATCCCTTGTGTCTTATAAAAGGGTTATTCCAAGTTGTTAGTGTTTAAGCTATTCGTTAGCTTAATCTAGCTCTTTGTTTTCCCTTCTTTAGATTTATTTGTTTTCTTTCAGAGCTGATTGCATTAGTTGGTATCAAAGCAAGTTTTGGTCCAGTGGTTTTGTGATCTCTCTTAGGTTTTGCAACATGCCACCAAGGAGAAGAAATCCACTTCGCAAACCAGCCGTTTGGCCTCATCGGGACGCAGCTGTTGATCAACAAGAAGTGCTTGCTGTGATAGAAGAGATAATTTGGAAGAGGAATTTGAGGAGGAGGACAATTTGGAAGAGGAATTTGTTAATCCTTTTCGCAGAAACACAGCACCCAGACCAGCACCTGTTCCATTTGAAGAAAGGCATTGGGATGGTGGCTTTAAGGTGAAAATTCCAGAATTTGTAGGATATCTTGGTGGAGAAGAAGAACAACCACAAGAAGAGGAACCTATTCATGATAAGGATGACGAGTCCAACGAGAACACTTCCTCCAACGACTGGAAAGTTTCTATCATGATTCCGAGAATGATTCAACAAATGATGAGTCATGGTTGTTCATAACATCGACTACCATAGAACCATTTGTTGACTGGAGCAAGCTTCCAATTTTTTATGAAGAACCACACATTGAATCTATTGATTGGGATCAATTAGCAATCTTTGGTAAGTGTTAGAATGTTTATATATATATATATATATATATATATATATATGTTGGGTCATTATGTAATTACATATAGTTGTAGGGCCCTTGTGTTATTATGTAAGTCTTGTATCTTTTATATAAGCCTACATAGGCTTATTAGGGTTAAGTAATATATACAAGAAAGATGTCTGCACTCTCTCTCTCTCATGATTTTGAACATGGTATCAAAGCTACACGAATTCATAGGTGTCAGAGTCTGTAATTGTGTTCTTGTATAAGATCGGAATCATGATTTTGGTGTTGGTGTCTCTGCCTCGTTCGTCGTCGCCGGTAGCTTCTCTTTGGTTGTCAGCGAGCTCACAGACATCTACCGTCTTGATTTGCAAACGTGAGGTTCATCGATTCGCGTTTTTTGGCCCGAAGTTGCAGAGGTCGCTGCTTATTGATTCGACCGTTGCTTGTGACTAGGTCGCCGTCGCCTCCACTGTATTGTTCACCGGGGCTTGTGAAGGTGTGAAGAAGAAGACCCTAGCTACACGATTATGCTATTCCAACCCTGGTTTTCTAAACCTGGGATAGCTATTCCAACCATGGTTTACTAAAACCTGGATAGCAGAGATCCGACCCGTTTGCCCTGATCCGGTTCGTTTTTCAGATCCAGCCCGTTTGACTAGATTCGGCCCGTTTTCCAGGTTCGGCCAGAATACAGATTTTGCATTTTTTTTTTCTATTTTGTTGGGTTCAACATGATGTCCAATTCAGATTTGCTTTCTCCCACATCCAGTTTTAATTCTCCCATGACTTCCGTTAAACTCAATGGGAAGAATTACATACTGTGGGCTGAATCTATTGCAATTTTTCTAAAAGGTAAAGGTCTTGGTACTCATCTGACTAAAGATAAACTCAAGGAAACTGATGCTTCTTTTGATGCATGGGAAAAGGAAGATGCTCAGATCATTTTTGTGATGTTAACTAGTATTGAACCCCAAATCAGTTCAACTTTACTTTATTTAGATACTGCAAGGAGATATGGGACATATTGAAGCAATTGTATTCTGGGACAGGTAATATCACCCGTGTTTATGAGCTCTGTAAGCAGTACTTCATTCTTGAACAAGGTACTCACAATATAGAAGAGTATTATTCCAAAGTTATCGGAGTCTGTGAGGAGCTGAATATGTATTAGCCCATTACTGCTGATGTTCGAAGTAGCAACAACAACGTGAGGACTTTAATGTTGTTCGTTTTCTTACTGATTTGTCGTCAGCATATGAGTCTATTTGTGCACAGATTATGGGCAGTCCCACACTTCCATCTCTTGCTGATGTGTTTTCTCGACTTCAGCGCGCTACACTTGCAAGTGACACCTCAAATTTGAATAATGGGCAGAGTGGTGAGCGTTCAGCATTGGCAGTTTCAAATGGTGAACATAATGCTTACCGTGGAGGTCGTGGGGGACGCTCCACATGTGGTGGTTGTGATTCACGGGGAGGATGTGGCCGTGGTAGGGAATCACGAAAATGTACTCATTGTGGCCTTTCTAATCATACTGTGAATTTTTGTTGGACCTTCATGGCAAACCATTTAGTTATGCAAATCAAGTTTCCTCCTCTCCGAATGATGTTGCTTCTGGATCTCACCACGTAGCTGAATCAGATACGGTCATTGTTCCACGTGATGAGTATACTCAGTTTTTGTCTTATAAGCAAGCATCTAATTCATCTTCCACGGCTACCTTTGCCCAGTCAGGTACTGCACACACATGTCTATTGTCTTCCACTCGCAGTCCTTGGATCATAGACACTGGAGCATCCAATCATATGACTAGATGTTCTTCTCTTCTATCTGACTTTAATTATGTACCTCCTTCTCAAAGTGTTACTCTTGCTAATGGTTCATCCACTAAGGTTTCAGGTGTGGGGACAACTCAACTTAGTGATTCCTTGTCTCTCTTGTCTGTTTTATATGTTCCTCAGTTTCCCTTTAATTTAATGTCTATCAGTAAGCTTACTAAATCTCTCCAGTGCTCTGTTACATTTTATCCTACTTCTTGTGTGTTTCAAGATCTCAAGGCGAAGAAGATTGGTACGGGGCATGAAGCTGGTGGCTTATATTACTTTGATTTGGAACCTTATCCTGTGGCTCTTGAGTCTTCTCTGTCTCCATTCTAGTGGCACTGTCGTCTTGGTCACCCGTCACTTCAAGTTTTGCAGCGTCAAGTTCCTAGTCTTAGTCATTTGAAATTCTTGTCATGTGAAGTTTGTCAACTTAGTAAGCACCATCACGTGTCTTTCAAGTCTAGGGTTAATAATCGTGTCTCTAGTCCTTTTCATTTGGTTCATTAAGATGTATGGGGTCCAATAAAGCATTCTTCAATCAATAAATTTCATTATTTTGTGACATTTGTGGATGATTATTCTCACTTGACTTGGTTGTTTCTAATGAAAGATCGTTACGAGTTATTTTTA